TTTCTAATGAATGTCTTTTGTTACTGCTCGTTAAGTGCGAAATAATATGGTGTATACTCATTAGTCTCATCGTCAACTTATCATGTATTTCAGGAGTTATCACATGTCTGCTGGAGAAAACATGTAGGTGTTAGTTGAATCTGTTACTTTCTTCATCGCTGTTATGGGTTTACTTTTTAATACATTACAAGCTGTATTTTCATTGAACTGTGCTTTCAATAAAAGGTGTTTCTTACTGACCACCAACTTTCTTTGAATTTGTCTGTTCATTGTATGCAAATGAGTTGACGGTTATTCTAATCCAACCTTCTGATCGACGGCGATGATAGTTTCATCAATTTTTCGACATCAAAAATCAAGTCTTCTAATTCGTTCAGTAAAAGGTCAACGTTCGGGATTGGAGAAAAAATTGATAAGAACAGATAAAAAGAAGTCATAACAAACAACGAAACTAAATTTTGAGGACATTATATCACATAATTCAAAGTCTATGAAATACTGACGCTGAGTGTTGTCACTGGTTTATTCTATAAATCATAAGTTTTTGTTCGGTTTATTACTCAAGGACATTCTTTTTTCGTCCTACTACTATTGTAATCTAAGTGTAACGTTTGGTAATTCAGTGTTCGACATTAATACCTAGTTTAGACATAATTGTATTTTCCGAACTGTTTGTGTGTAGCAGTCATGTTAGTCATTCATTTATTCATTTATCATTTTAAACTAATTAAAAGTGCAAGGATCATGAGTTATTCGAGCAGTTTCCCTGTTGACTCACCTTCCCTTTTCTGATGTCAGCCAATTAGGTGACAGAATTTCCATCGTATCTCTGTCCAAAATCTTTAGTCTAGATCCGGACTGATGCTTCTCCAGCCTCATGGTTAAACTAGTTAGCTTATTCTGTCTAAATCTTAAAATATATAGTGACACGTTCATTCCTTCAGACAGTTCAAATGTATTTTACTATGTCACCCAGATTTCTATGATATGTGTTAGTGAACAGAAAATGAACCTTCATTGATAACTTCAAAAGTAACCCATTGTGAATAACGTCAGAAAGTCGGTTATTGATTAGTAGTTAAAGTGGTTTCTCTACACGGTGTTAGTTGTCTTACTTTGCAAACAAGAAAGTAATGTCTGTGACAACATCCGTTTTCATTTAAATTGCTATTTGAAACGATTATCACCGAGAAAATTTCAAAAGGATCGTATAACGATAGCCTAGATAACCGTTTTTTAATCATTACCAACGGCGTATAAATCTGAGAATGAAAAAATCTTGCGTTCAGTACAATTTATCATTGAGAAGCAAAAATCACAGATTCAGAATCACACAAACCAAAGTCACGCAAAAATGCTACTGAGGGCAAGCGCGCAAATATATAGAAAAAAGAGAGTTATACATATCTGAAATTGAGCAAAGTGTTGACCTGTAGACCTTAGTTAAGTTGAGGTGTGTTCAATCTCAAGGGTTTGGGTGAGACGTCAATGTTAGGAGTAATATACACCTTATGTTACTTCTTTTAAAGTCAACGAATTCTCTGTTCTCACAAAAATTTATTCAAAGTTGCCAAAATTCAGTCGGAGTTCTTTTTATCTATATAATCTGCTCTTACCGTCTGAACAAGCCCACCCCCATGGCATGGCTCGCTTTCGTAAACCGACTCATTGATGTTTGGTAACAAAAATGTTACACAGCATCTCCATAGAAATGTCTATTCGTTAACTATGAATTCGGCATCTCACTTCTTAGAAATTATTTAAAGCGAACCGATATGAATTCACTTTGCGATCACACAATAATTCATGTTATAACAGAAGAGGCACTGAACATTCATGTCAGTTGTTTACAACGTATTAACTGCTTGTGTGTAATTATTAAAACATTAACTGAAGCATCACAGATCAATAATTTCTGGTCAACATTCACTTTAACGGTAATTCCTGTAGCTTGTACATGCTAAGGAAATTACAGTCAAAGCGAAGAAATGATTGGTTGAAATTGATTAAATGATGTGCAATAATCATGCATCGGAAAAGCATACCCATCATAAACTATCGGGATTAATTGACGGTCATCGAATTCACTTATGTTGACAATAACTATATAACTCTATCAACAAAACCATGAATTGAATTGCACATCGACATCTCGAATAATTGCAAATCATCTAAATCAGTAGTTATTTAACTTCAATAGCTTTCCATTATTGTAACATGCTGATGACATTATTAACATTTGATGTTGTTCAAGTGACGAAACCATCCGATCGCTACAATAATATGATAAAAAAATCGAAACACTGTCGAAAATATTCACATGGTATGGAGTTGTAGAATTACCGTCTACTTCGTTGTTAATGCTCATTTAATAAAAAGTAATCCTAAAATTGTAGAGTTATCATGACAGAACTGCCTAATCCATGAGATCTTATGTGGAAGTCACATTATCGTCTACACCAACTCATTGCAACGTAACAATCGCCAATGCATGATGAAGAACAGGCCTAGGCTGGAGATAAAACAGTAGTTTTTCGATATGGACAAAGATACGTTTGCGTAAGTTTGACTGCGCTTGCAAGCCGAGCCATGCCATCCGATCATTTCGATTTAATTCAATTCATTGTTCACGCCTTATCCATTGTTGGGTTCTTTTCAGCGTTAGATGCCGAATACCAATTTCCCTAATTATCTTGTGTTCAGCTTTGATAGAAGTGTATTGAGTGCCCAATGTCACTACACTACTCTCCCACCAGAATCAACGTGACGTCGGTTCGATATCAAATTGAATGGAATCGATGCGCGCCGGAGGTTACCAAGAATAATAAGAATCCTCCGTGTATTGATAAGCTGATAGATTAATAAAACAAAGCGGTAGCATCTGATTGAGAAATACATGTAATAATTCTAAAATGTCTGTTATAATGCTTAACACGCTTAAAATTAAAAACCTACATGAATATTATTTGTACGTCAAGAATGGCAGGATTATTAAAATAAAGAACGATTTAGTATAGTGATATTTTAACAAGTCATAATAGAATGGATAGTACTAACATTGAGTTAGTGGCTTCACTAACAGGCCGTATGATTAATTTTAAAATGTTTAGTTTTATTCTTAACACATCAAATAAATAGATGTCTATGTGAAGATTGTATAGGAGTTGAACAAAGTGGGACTTTAATAATTAAGAATGATTTCGTGTATAGATATTTCAATAGATCGCCATAAGATCCGTAGCAATGGCTGTAGGTTAACAGTATTTCACGTAAAGAAATATTAAAAAAACAATCAATTTTCTGGAAAATTTAATATTGGTACTATTTTTGATTGAAATTGTAAAGTCAGATAACGTTTATGTCGGTTCGCTGCTTATATAAGTTGATTTCCAGTTGCATCTGCATTAGTAGGCTAACTGAAAGAACAAAAGTATTACCGTGGAGAAGAATTCCTACTAGTGTTCCATTCAGTTTGATACGGTTTATTCAGCTACGGGGAGATTTTCTGCACCTCCTTTTTACTTGACCGTGATATAATTTAGTAATACTAAGAATACATATGAACGGTTATCAATACGTGAAATGTGATGATTGTGTGTATTTTGCACAGCTAAGAGCAGTTCGTTAAACATAAGTATATCCGTGAGAGATATGCTCTAGACTCAATGCTGTGATTCGCTACAGACTATTTATTTCTATTCATATCTACCGGTTGATGGTGCATACAGGTTAGTTGTAGGGCGGAATACGATTTAAATGAGATATGGCGGTTACAAGTTGTTGAAATCAACTATGTGCCGCAGTTATAGGTGATGTGGTGCTGCAAGATGTCTTCCGCTAAACAAACCTTTACAAGATGATTGAAAGTGAGTGATGCTCGTACGATTACCGGGGAGAATATAAGTTGTAACCAAGTGAAGTATAAATCCCACCGTCACTATTGAGTCACCTGAGTTAATGAGCCCGACTTCAGTTGATCGATAGAATTCGACAACTCTAAGGATTGAAAGTACAGTAAGTATAATGGTACGATGTGAGCACTTGATGTAAATATTTCAGTCTTACTGGTGCTGTCATCTTATTTGTTCCAGTAGTGTAAACACTCAAAGAATCGCGAATAAATTATCATCATTCTTTGTGAGTGTTTGTCTTCCCTATATTGTTGATGTTGATGACGGCGATCAATTGGTCACTCGTGTGTGATATAAGTGCATTCTAATTGGACTGCGTCAATATCGTCAATATTCACAAGGATTTTTGAAAAATCTGATAGTGTTGTGTAGTGAAACCCAGAACACTTGTTCATGAACACCCGTGTTGAAGAAGTCAGTTGTTGGCCGAACTCAATAATTTATTGGATTTCATGTCTCGCGCTTGTCGTGGTTGGTGTTGTGTTCCGCTATGAAATTGAACTATTTGAGTGTGATTGTGTTGAAGATACGATATTCTTGTATCAAACTAACGTAAACTTTGCTCATCATGAGACGCTAATTAATTTTAGTAAATGTGGTTTTATTCTGATTAGTAATAAAAGTGGGTGTACAATCAATATATAATGAGTGCACTTTCGACTAATATCGTTGTTTTTAAGGGTAAAAAATCTTTGCTCGTATCATTCTGTGTGTTCTTAATTCACGTTATGAGAATTGCAACGTTTCCTCGATTTACTAAGCATGAGTAACAAGCAACCAGAATTGTAACTCATGAACTAATGACGCTTCTAAATAACAATTTAATAAAAATCAAGTTCTACTCTTGCGTAAGAAATCACTATTCAGAAAAGTCTGATTATTCCACTTGTCGGTGTACTAATTAAATCTAATGAAATCAAATGTGTGCAATCACTACGTAAACTGTGATGGCTGACACATAGTGTATTCACTGAATAAACTTTAACCAATAACAAACGTATGTTTGTGTCTAAATGTTTGAAAATTTTGGTGTAGTATGAATAGTTTGTGTATATAAAATGTAATGCGGTGGTTGATTTAAACGTCTGTGGTAAATATTAAAGACAATCAATAATGCCTTCAGGTGGTATGCAAAAAAACAGTTTGAAAATAATGCGTGCCGAAATATTTATCATAATGTCAGTGGCATTCATCACAATGCTTCACTTTGTTGACGCAGGTGCGTACGGTCCTTGTTTGACTGGTAAGTGTTATGTTTTTTTTTTCCTACTCAGATCAAACTATATCTGGAATTAATAGTACTAACCAAAACATTATGTTTCTTCTCTCTACAGACACAGAGATTACTGAGACAGTAACAACTACAGCAAGGACAACAGTTGATACACAAACAACAGTAGATACAAAAACAACGGATGTCACAAAGGAAACCGAAGAAGTGATTGAAATATTAGTCGTTTGAACTACAACGTAAAATTTAAGATAATTGTAAGTTGGTTGAAATGTATAATGTTGCACAAAAATATATCTCAGTGTTCTTCAAGTCGATTCTTCATTTAGATATCACATGTTTTTCAACAATTTTGTACATGATGATTACACAATAAAATGCAAATATTATTTCTGTGCACGCATAATTGTTTTCATTTACCTGCCAATTAGTTGTTAATTGCTATTAATATCTATTATGTACTGAGAAAATTGAAGTGTTATCAAGCACATACATGCAAGACTGACGATTAAGACAAGAGTGAATTATTAACGAACATGAGAAAAAAATGGCATCATTCAGTGTGTGAGGGATTGTTCATTGATCCTATCTGTTTCTAGAATAGTGATCTAGTCAATAATTGTAATGTATATTTTACAGTCTAAAGTAACACGGCCAAAAATCAGTTTCTACAGGAGGAAGATTTGCAACCCAGAAGTATAGTTTTGTGAAGCATTAATTCTTGCGAGTTGTTTATTTCAAAACGGATGCTTTTATTGTCGTGCTAAACGACTATGTCACCACAATCCACATAAAGAAGAAGAGAAGTATGTAAATTTCTTCTCAACTGACCTGATGAAGCTTGTTCTATCGGCATTCATGAGAATATTCAGTCTATTTTTCCACATCAATGACGCGAATTTACTCCATTCGAATGCGCCATGAAGCAAATCGATAGTGCAAAGTACTATTTGCAAATCGCACATGTGCACCAATAATAATATTATTAATAAAAATATTGGAGTTCGATTATTGAAGAAACGATAAATTGAAGCTCCTACAAACATCATATATGTTAGAAAAGAGTGATCCATTTGAGTTATAATTTTGACGATTCAGATAGCCATTTCTTAGTGAAATCATAACATATACACGTAGTAGGTAGACTGTCAACATGACTGGATTCTACGTTGTTTGCAGTCGTCTAACAGAACCTCTCTGTGGTTATTGACCACACATTATTTATCACCATTTACACACCGTTATTGATTTGTGATGAAATGTCTGTGATTTCTTGATTGTCTATCTTATTCAGGCAGAACTGAATTCGTATAAATATAGTTAAATTTTAAAAAAAGATATCTATAGGATGATAGAAAAGATTGCATTGCAAAGATGGATTCGAGAATAAATAACAAATGAGGTTACGTACTACGTACTGTCAATAAATAGTAGATTTCGGATGAAACGAAATATTGGCAAAGTGCTACCCACTGTTGTTTTGTTGTAGTAGATTGATTTAACTGTTTACAACCATATAGAGAGAAGTAAATAGATCATTACTCCTAGTATATAAAATAATCCAAACGCGTGAATCAAACTGTGTGCTTAGTTGAGTAAGAAGAAGTCCTAATAAGTACGACCTGGATATAGTGATAAGGAAGATAACATTTCAATCTTCGAAGTACTTATTGAAATCATTAACGTCTTTATAATTAGTTTATCTTTGGTGTTTCAGTTCACATGAAATCCTTTCTGTGTAGTTTTGTGATCTCTTTCTGTTAGTGTATACCACAATTCTTGCCTGCAACAATCATAAAACAATCTACGAAACTAATCAATCTGTTTAATGAAGCACACGAAGGTACTATGGAATATATGAAACAACGTAAATTCCATTTTCAGATGCTGTAATCTATCGAACATCAGATGTCGAACCACTAAGGAAATCGTATTGCAATAAAACATCGATTAGAGTATATCTCAATCTTAACAGCTTTTGTCCACATATTTGAAAAAGGAAGACTTGACGAGCGCAAAATTGATGAATATCACGGTGTCCAGTGTATATTAATATACACATTCGTAGCTATAATTTCGTTCAAATTATTGTTAAACTTCATTGTCTTTAAACAATGTCTATGAACTGTTATGAATGGAAGGAATTGTCATCTAGAATTGCAGAATGGGTCAACTTATTACTGGAAATCAGAGAACCAATAGTGTTATAAAGTTCAGTAATTCAGGTAGTCAATTCAATTTGATACTCTCACTTAACCTACATGCTATTGGAAATCGTGTTTCATATCTAAAAACCTGCGGATAAAGATGAAATCTAATATTAAGCTATTTCTAAATTTCACACTACTTCATCATTCAAATTCAACGTAATGGTATTTGACATAGTTGGCTACATTCTTCCTTACTCAATAAATGATATACAATCGTTTGTCAGCTAACACGCAATCAAAAGTTAATGGTCCCTTATTTAGCACATTTGACAGATTTCACCGCCATAATGTATGTTATCAGACGTGAGTTCACGCGGTTTGAGCGCCTTATATTGCTATTACTAACACTGTTACCACTAATTCTGCTAACATCACCACTTCTGGTACTATGACCTACAGTACTTCAATTTTATCGGTCCACTACATGGGTCTTATTCACCGAATTCGCTCACGCAAATACTAGAACCGGATGTAAGTTAACGGATTTATGAGTAGAGAAAAAATTATTTGAAATCACTAATTACCCCATCATATATTTCTACTACTGAAAAAGACATGTTGATATTCCGCTTGCAATAAGTGAATTGTGAGAAAGTCAACACTGTAATTATAATCACATTCATCAGTTTTATATCACTTGAATAAATAAATAAATTCGAATAAAATTCTATTCCACATGTGTGCAAAAGTAAATTATCCTTATTTGTTCGCGATTTGTCGCAAACCAGAAAGTCTTGAATTATCTTAATCTAAAGCATGAATGTATATAAAATCATGACTCAGATGATGATGATGATGATGATGATGATGATGATGATGATGATGATGATGATGATGATGATGATGTTGATGATGATGATGATGATGATGATGATGACGATGATGATGATGATGATGATGATGATGATGATGATGATGATGATGATGATGATGATGATGATGATGATGATGATGATGATGATGATGATGATGATGATGATGATGATGATGATGATGATGATGATGATGATGATGATGATGATGATGATGATGATGATGATGATGATGATGATGATGATGATGATGATGATGATGATGATGATGATGATGATGATGATGATGATGATGATGATGATGATGATGATGATGATGATGATGATGATGATGATGATGATGATGATGATGATGATGATGATGATGATGATGATGATGATGATGATGATGATGATGATGATGATGATGATGATGATGATGATGATGATGATGATGATGATGATGATGATGATGATGATGATGATGATGATGATGATGATGATGATGATGATGATGATGATGATGATGATGATGATGATGATGATGATGATGATGATGATGATGATGATGATGATGATGATGATGATGATGATGATGATGATGATGATGATGATGATGATGATGATGATGATGATGATGATGATGATGACATAGACTATGAGCAGCAATCGAGGAAACATATTATGCTCGCAAAGCAGGTCATGATTGGAAGCGCTGAGCGCTCAACTCCAATGCCACCCAGATATTATACGAATGATTACATCACTTCTCACTGCATCGACTAATTAACGTATACGTGTAAACACTCATACATGGAGAGGAGTAATCGATCAATGCAATCAAGTATTATGAGCCATGTACCACGGTGGTCTGAAAGTCAGTTAATACCAACTGTTCCGATAAACATGGAATGTAGAAGACTAAATTCATAGATAGAATAGCACTTAATTGAAATGAGGCACAGAATTGAAATCACTGCCGCTTTAAAACGCGGTTAAGAAATTGTGAAAGACTGCTTTTTAGGTTGATGGAATCTTCAGTCATTCGTGAATACAAACCACTTATAAGTAAAAATCAATTTGTCATACTCTTGATTTTGCCCTGACTATCCTTCAGTCATTTTATGGACTAGAGTAGTGCCAAAATGTCATGCCTTTTGTACGATGTTAATTTTCACTCTCACTACCTTATGTAAAATTGTACTCCGTTTACTTGAACCTTCATTTAATCGATTTCCATAGATTCTTAAATATGATCCGGCTTCTTGGGGTGCACTACAAGTGAAAATATTTTGTAAGCAAGTTCTATGTTTATAATGATTAATTAATGTCATATAACCAGTTGACCTTGACAACTACAATGTATTTGGAATGTGTGTGATATAAATAGAAGCTATACGGGGTCTTGTTAATGCTAATTTACGTTGCTCATTTTCAATCAATAGATCAATCTGCCCTATCAAGTTGATGTCACAGATCTGAGGTTGAATTCAGAATTGGTCATTTCTGAAAATGTTTAGCGCTGCTCATAGTCATATGTGATATGATCTGTAGTATGTCGGTCAATGTCATTCCTAATATCATCTCATTCTCGTTGTTCTTCCATCTACACTGACACATCCCTACCGTTGTTCGTAGAATAATGTCAATTGACTCAAGGCTGGTAATAATCTAATGAGGAAACATTTCAGTTCTACTGTTGTCACCTTTTCCTTGACCTGTATATATTTCTAGTTTATATGTGAATATAAGTGTCACGATGTATTGAGGCGTGTGTATTTGTATTCACTTTCCCAACAATGTCTCTAAATCCAGTGTTATTGACTTCTAAGGCGAGTGCATATAATGATGATTCCGACAGTAGTTATGCACTTTGGTGAATGTAAATTTCAGTGAAACAGTATATGGATCACATTTTGATGACCGATCTTTTCTGTTTTGACGTACTTGGAAGAAGAATGAGGTAGACAGAATGAAACGTCAATTTATTCAATATCAGACTGATGATAAATCCATCCAGTTCTAGTATTCTGGTGACTGAATTCGGTGATTGATACCGATGATAATGAAGTAGTGTTGATCATAGTCCTAGAGGTGATGATATTAGCAGAATTAGTGGTCACAGTATTAGTCATAGTAATATTAGGTGCTGAAACCACGTGAGCTCACGTCTGGCAACATAGATCGTGGTAGTGAAAACATTAGACATGAGGAATGTGTCAGATGTGCTGAACAACGGTTCTTAACTTTTTGATTATTTGTTGGCTGACAGATGATTTTATATGATTTATTGATCTAAGAAGAATGTAGTCGAATATGTGTGGTGTTTGAACGAACTAGTAATACATTTGTACATGTTGAATGCTCGATTTCGAATTCCAAATACAATATTTACGTTTGTGCTTGTATCATACTTGTTGATTCAATTGCGTTAATTTTGGGATTCCCAGTTCATACGATAATTTAAATACTTTCATATATTATACTATGTCAAATACCATGACGTTGAATTTGAATGCTGAATTAGTGTGGACTCTGAAGTTAGGGATTGAGTATTCTTCATTAGCTCGGTATTTTGATAGCTAGACTTAGTGGTATATGTTACAAATGAGCTATTGAAATTGATTGGGGAGTTACCTGCAAAATAGTCTTGGTCGTTAGATTTGTAGCCTTTGTTATGGCTATTTACTTTTGCAAGAGAAGTGTATGCTGCGCCTAACTGGAAGGATTTGCGTTTGTCATTATACGTGGGAGCCGTTTTCATGTGATGAGTTGGTACTAAAGGGCGTGAAAAGTTTTCTTTCTGAAAATAATTACAGTTGTGATTCTGGGGAATGTAGATAGGGTGTGGAGTGAGAAACCTATTATTACCATTCTTAATAATGGTTTGAGGCTTCAGTGGGTGATTTGGGTGTCCAGCTCTCTGGTAGTTCTCGTTAGTCTGCGTGTAAGAAGAATTGTTTCGCGGAAGCCCAGTACTGATTTTGCAACTTAGAGGTGTTGAAGGTAAGTTATACGATAGCAGCGTGGAGAAACTGTTCACTGTTCTTGGGATACCTATAGAGCAGATGGGTTCAATTTTACATGTTTCCATATTCGTATTTGTGAGACGTATCTTCCCACCCTTTATTGTCGGAGCTGGAGACTTTCGTTGTCCCTGTGAGATGAACTTAGGTTCATTATTATCTACCTTAATTGTGTTTACGCAAACCCATTCACTGGATCTTCGTTGTTGCAGATGTTTCTTAGCCAATCATTGCTATGGAGCTTCTACAATATTATGATCTAATCATCGATACGCGCAAACGGAGACAACTGGACGGAAACACTAATATATCCGCTTGCGTAATTTCTTCTTCTGGTTACAGATTATCCTCATTCACAATTAAGCATACGATAGACCGACTTTATCAACCACTACTCGATAAGTATCCTAGGATTCATCAAACTCAACCGAAACTACCGTGTGTAACCGGAAACGTTGCACATCACATCACGACTACAAGACCACCTGTATTCTCTTAAACACGATGACTAGCTCCCGAAAAGCTAAGGTTGGCGAACAACGCGTTCGACCACATGATAGACTTAGGCATCATCTGACCGTCAAATAGCCCGTATGCATCTCCGTTGCACATGGTCCCTAAAAATGACAGCGACGATTGTCGTCCAACTGCTGACCATCGGCGATTGAATGCGAACACCATTCCCGATCGTTACCCGTTGCCTCACATTCACGATTTGACAGCTACCTTGAAAGGTACAACTGCCTTTTTGAAAATCGACTTGGTTAAAGCGTATAACCGAATCCCTATGGCTACTGATGGTATTCCGAAAACAGCTATCATAATTCCCTTCGGACTCTACGAAATTCGGCAAATGCCTTTTGGTCTAAGATACGCTCCACAAACCTTCCAAAGGTTCATGGATGACGTTTTCTAAGGTCTCAACTTCGTACATGCGTATGTTGACGACTGTCTAATAGCAAGTGCGAGCAGACAATCGCATCTCCAGCATCTGGATCTCCACAATTAAGGGACTTATCTGTAAAGCAACAATGCTTGCACATCAGGACACTGAAGCACCCATAAGTATCGCAGTATACGTATCCGACAAGAAGACACTGATCTTCAGCACGAGTTATCGTCTACAACCCTCGAGCTATGCATTAAACAGATGGGAACAGGTAAGAAAACCTTACTTTGTGACACACCGACAGGTAGAGATCGTCCAATCGTTCCAAAAAATTATCAACTCAACGTCTTCGATATGTTATACAAACTTTCTCATCCAGGTGTTCGTGCAACCATCAAGCTTATGTCAGAAGAGTTTTGCTGGCCTGTAATGAATAAAGACGTGAAGGAGTGAGCACGCTCCTGTGTAAGCTGCCAAAAATCTAAGATTATCAGATACGATAAATGTCCCTTAGGCCCATTCAAAACTCTCAATGCTCTTTTCCACCATGTTCATCTGGATTCAGTAGGACCTTTACCAGTTTCAAACGAACACTCATATCTCATAATCCAATTAGATGGTCTCACTCGATGGCCAGAAGCAGTACCCATCAGGGACATCACTGCTGAAACAGTGGCCCGCGCCTTCGTCGAACGTTAGGTAGCAAACTTCGGCTGCTCTTCAACAATCACTACAGACCGCGGACGTCAGTTTGAATCCGAACTTTTCAGTCGTCTGACCACACTTTTAGTAATCGCTCGCTTCCGAACGACTGCCTACCACCCACAAGCACACAGGTCGGTAGAACGCTTTCACCGACAACTAGAAGCGTCACTATCAGCTGCAAACCTCTCACAGCGGACCGACGCTCTTCCACTCGTCTTACTAGGTATTCGCAATGCAGTGAAAGCTGACATTGGATACACTGCTGCGCAACTCGTTTATGGAACGAAACTTCGTCGTCCAGGAGAATTCGTGGGTCCTTCATCCTCTTCAATGAACATGGATCTAACCATCTACACGAACAGGTTTACAAACGCAATGCGTTCAGTTAAACCTTCTTCCACTCTACCACAATCAACCAATGTTTTCGTCCAACTTGACTTACGATATAGTGCACACGTGTTCCATCGTCGAGATTCACATCGACGACCATTCGAATCAGCATACTATGGAGATTTCTAAATTCTTCAACGTGAATCTAAGTGTTATATAATCGATAAGAACAGAACAAACGATAGCATCAGCATAGATCGCTTAAAAGCAGCGTACTTAGAAGGAAATCCTATCTACGTCGATTTCTCTTCGGTACAATCGCACAACACGACTCCTACACTCATAATTCGTCAACCGACAACCAACACGCACGATAATATTCCGAATGTATCTGAAAATATACTTTAAACGACGTGTTCTGGAAGAAGATTAAGATTTCCAGGACATTTAAACGACCATTGCGCGTAAGACACCAGTCAACAATTTGTTTCATCTCAATTTTCCATTGTATAATACAATATTTAGAAAATCAATTTTTATATGCTTATATTTATATATTATTATTTGGCCAATATGTATATTATCAAAAAAGTTTTTGAAGAAAAAACAAAAAAAATTTTCGTAAAAACCGCTTACACGTTATTATCAGAATGGGTTTTGTGGATTTCGGTTGTGAATTAAAGCACTCTTCCAGAATTGAAAA